GAGCGCCTTGGGCGGGCTGCAGGCAGGACGAGGCCCTCGGCGTCATTCTCCTCCGACTGCCTTTTCCGCGGTTTCTTTCTGTCCCCGCCCCAGCACATGGAAAGGGGTAGCTGCGGCGCCGTGGCGAGTGCCGGCAGCCGGAGGGGGTGTGGGTACGAGCTCTCCGTACGTGCTTCTCCAACAGCAACGCGTGTGATACGGCCTGGGAGTGGGGGCACAAATAGCCTGGCTGACTTCCCAACCCCTGACGTGGTTAAACACACACGAGAATCAAATCGGAACGAGGTTGGAGGTGGTTGCTACAGGAGTCTTTCACTGCAGTTTTGACTACTTTTAAGGTTTGGAACCTCTGTGGCGATGCTTAAAACCTGCCTGTAGGAAGCACAGAGCACCCTGATCTGACTTTGCTGTTGGTCCTGCTTTGAGCAGAAGGTCAGACAGTCTCCAGAGGTCTCTCAGCCTAAATTCTCCCATGAGTGTACTGACAGCCTATAGGTCAGGTCTTTTCCACTTGTTCCCCTTTGCTCGGAAAGATAGAGGATGCCAAATAACCATCTCCTTTGCATGCAATTTGATACTTCTATGTGTCAGTCACTGTCATTTTTCCCAAACTGGAAGCTGGTGTATGCTGAAATGGGAATCTTGCCCTCCTCGGCTGCAGGGGCCAGCTTTTGTGGTAAAGGAGGGACTTAATGGCTGTAGGGTCAGCTGACCACCAGGGCACAGAGCAGCTGTTCTTTTAGTGGGACATCTTTTCAGTGTTGTATTTGTTTAGTCATTTGCACAACAGGAACTTGGTCCCTAAATGGGGTAGCTACATAGTCTGCAGTAGAAATAATGAAATAGCAGGAGGTTAAAGCTTTTTGTTGCAATCCTAGGTATTAAAGTACGGAAGGACAAGACTCAGCTGACAGTCAGTGTAAAGAGATTTGTGAAGAAGCTTGAGAATATTTCAGATGATGAAGCTCAGGAGATCCTGGAAGAGAAGAACTACGTTGCTGCTCTTGGAATATGTGCCCAAGGTATTATTGGGGAAAACCTAACACAGCTGTGACTTCGGGAGATTCTTGCAGTGTCAAGGTTGTACAATGTTGATGAAATTGCTTTTGAGGGCTGACCAGCTCTGGCTGTGCTTGCGGTAACAGGCAGAAGAGAGGATAATGATTCTAGGATTTTATTATGGTTTTTTTTTCATAACACCTGGAATATAAAGAGTCTTTTAAGCCAAATAGTAAAATGTTACATTCCATCTTCCTTGAGTTAGGAATATACCAGTGCTTTTTAAATAGCTACAAGTAACATTTCTTTTCACAGATCCAACGGGAAATGGCTCAAGTGTAAGTGGTGGCGAAGTTTACTCATTCCAGACTCCCAAACGCTCCAGCAAAATGGCAGAGCTGGGTAGGTTTTCCTCTTTCTTCTTTCATTCTCACTCTGGCTATGGTGGTTTTTTTGTCTTTTTTTTTTAGTACTCTGTTAATGTGACTTGTCACTTCTGTTTATTCAAAAGATATGTTTGCAATATTTCAATAGCTTTTCTCTGGCTCTGAATCAGTCTTCCTCAGAATCAAAAGTGTAGGGCTAGGAGAAAGCAAAGGCATGGTGGGGATAAGGAGTACAGTTAATAAACAAACACATAAGAAAAAGTAGAAGTTTCTTAATGCTGGGAGAAAGTCTGCGTGTAAATGCCACAGCATGGCAGGGGTTTTATTTGTGTAACTTGGAAGGATATGAGAATAACTCATTATGTAGCAAAGAGTCAAAAAGAGACAGTATTAGCTTTGTGCGTTGAGGGCTTTCTCCTACTTAAAGTGTCTAAGCGTGCTTGCTAGGCTAACTGTTGACTTAGGAGAAGCAAGCAGAAAGTGGCGGTTCTGGAGAGGGTGGGCTGTTCTGGTTCAAATAAGATGCTCAAGCTCTGCTTCCGCAATGTTTCTTTTCACTTGAAGATCCTTTGCGTGCCCAGCACCATCTGAGCTTCATTAGTGTTTAGCTGTCACAGCTACTGATACATCCTACAAAGAATGATCCAAGGGAGAAGGGTCATCCTTCTGTATCACTATACAGAAACTGGTTTCCGTACTTCTTTACTTCTCCTCTGGGCTTTTGCGGTGCCTTCAGAAGTTGTGTGTTTCTTACACCTCCTTCTGCAGGAGGGTAGGTTTCACTGGTACTCCCTCGTGGAGCCATGACTCAGTTTGAAAACTGAGGCAAGTCATGCAATGGAAGGCTTGTTTTCTTGAGGGACTGTTAGCAGGATATGGGGACCTTCCATATACAGATCAGTGATTCAACTTCAGCTTGTGCTGATAAGTAGTACAAAGAGGTAAATAGACTACAAGAACCCACCTCCTGGGGAACTGGTGTGCTTGCCATGCCTGATGCTCTGCTATGTCCAGTTGAGCAGTTTTAAAGGACTAAGTGAGCATGACCAAACATTGCTGTGATTCGAAGACGTGGTCTCCCAGGGAGCAAAGTGTGTTTTAGTATTGCCTCAGCTATACTTGTAAAATGGATTAACTAGGTTCAGTCTTTGAAAATCTTTGTTAAGGATTACATTCACCATTAGGGTTAGGAAAAAAAAAGAAGTATCTGGTGCACTTCCTGAAATAGCTAGGAAATTAATAGTCAGAGGACATTTCTGCTGTACAGCTCCATGGCTGACTAGCCAGAGCTGCGAGTTTTGTACCTGACATGTGAAACTTCTTTCCCTCCCCCTATTTCCTACAGCCTCTGAATTAGCCCAGACACCAGGACAGAGTGTTGCACCTGATCACTCTGAGTGCCCTGAGAAGACAGCCAAAACACCTCAAACCAGCAGTAAGTCCTGTGATGCTTTGGGGAACTGAAGCTGGGTGAATGGGAGTTATGTTTCCGTTTGAGTGGTGGAGTGGATGCTTGAGTGCCAGCTTCTGTCATGCTTGAGTATTCTAGCCAGCTTAACATTGTAGACTGAACTGCTTGGTGCGCATGGCCTCTGGTTCACCTGGGTGTCAGATCTTTTATTCTGCCCTGCTGGTCTAGAGAAAACAGGAACTTCTCTCTCATCTGTTGCTGCGACACTTAATTACTTCCTCTGTGTTCAATAGAAATGCTTGCACTTCAGAGAGTTATGAGCTAGGCTGATGTGTTCAGCGGCAAATGGGTAGGATTGTGTGGGTGTTCATGTGTAAATTCACACTTTATTATATAATATTCGAGCACCCAATGCTGTAGGGAGAAATACAGGTGGGAGAAGTCAGTGCAGGTCAACACTGGCAAGAGCATGTTACTTTGTGCTCAGAAATGGAGTCTGTTGTGCTCAGGGAGAGGATGTTAGCTCATTTTTCAGCCTCTTCCCTCCTGCTGATGGCCTCTCAAAGCTGTGACTAGAATTAAAAGCTGCCTTCTGTGGTAATAACATTGACTGCCTTTGTTCTCTCCTTGCCTACCTGTGAGGAACTAGACACTTCCCTCATAGGATTAACCACCCAGGGAGTTGATATTCTGATGGAGTGTACCTTTGAATAGTGAATGCCTGTTTTTCTAATGGACTATCTTGTGCCACTGTTGAAAATATGCAGTACTCTGAACAATGCTGTTTCTTGCTTTGCAGAACGTTCAAATTCAAACAAAGTGCAGCTAAGGGTGAGTGATGACTCTACCTTGCTTGGGTTTTTTCTGTTTGTTTGGGGTTTTTTTGTTGCTGGTGGATTTTTTTTTCCACTTGTTAAACTTGAACTGACCAATTACTACAGTTCTGGAAAGGAAGGACCTTGAAAAGCCTCATTCGCAGTACAGATGTCTCTCCTAATCCAACCAGGCAGGAGTAACTCAAATGAGAACCAGAGCTACCATTAATCAGGACTATGGGATTTAGAGTCAGTGGGCAAATAGTGGGTTTGACCGCTTAATTAGCATGGGTGGAGACTATTTCCTTGCATTGCACAAATGAGGATGTTAGACAGTCCATTAATATGCAGTTAAACTCGTAGCTTTCCAGTTTCTCATCAAAAGAAGAAACAGTCTTAATTGGAAGGAGTGCTGTTAGAGCAGGAATTCAAGAACTGTGGTGTGGTTCAGTTTCTTAGTTTAGCATTGGTGTATAAAAAAATAAATTGTGATAATGAGGGGGATGTGAGTTGATGTTATCTTTTGTGATGCTACAGGGAGATACAGTCCAGAACTGACAGTTGTTGTGGTTATAAAGAGAGTGCTGTGAAACAGTTAGCTTTCTAAAATAGTATAGCATCATACTAGAAATGTGTGCACAACTTTTCCGGTATAAGGTTCCAGGATGAGATAGGCCTGTAAGAGATGCTGGTTTGGGATGGCATGTTCATTCCTTGACGATTTCACATCCACTTTGACAGAATTAACAAAAGTGTTTCCTAAGTATTGCAGACTTGATCTGGTGTCTGAGTCAGGCATGTGCTTTACACCTATGTAAGGAAGATGTGCCACCACAGCTTATGAGCCCAGGCAGCTTGGGTTCCCTTCACTGTACTACTTCTGGGCTTAGTATTCTGAGGGGTCTTCTGTCATTCTGGTAGTTGTTTTCGTAGTGGACTTCCAAATGACTTTAGGTAGACAGTGTGATGTGGAGGATGACTGCTCTGGGGAGTCGAAGCATTTCCAGTTTGTCATTGCTTTGGTTTGACTCTTCCTGAGGGGCCAAGACTGGCATCTTGGTTGGAGATTTCACAGTTTTTTACCCTCCATCTTGGGACATTAGTAGAAAGAATGAAGCCCCTTTTGGAACCTGATCCTGACCCCCTCTAGCTCTGAATGGCAAAATAAGAACCCTCCATACTTACTACTTCTGCTTTCTCAGTTTCTTGTGGGCTGAAATAGCTTGGAAATATAACCTGATTCTACTCTCTGCTAGACAGAAGGCTGTTTTGAGGAGCTATATGTTTCTTCTTCTAATGCTTGTTTTTTCTTTGCTGTTACAGAGTAGAAAGAAAGAATTTGTGTCTACCACACCTTATAGACTCAGAAGGAGGATAGCAGGTAAAGATCAACCTTTGCAGTCAGCTCCCACAGTCAGTGAGGCACTGTTGTTCAGAGGAGAGTGTTTCTTCTGGTGCGCTTCTGCCTATAGTAGCAGTCTGACTGAAGCAATCTGATTCATCCTGCAGAGCGTATACATGTCCTTAAGGAAGTCTATGTAGACCTTTTCAAACAGATTGCTACTTAGGTAAGGGATGGAAGGGTTAGAAGGACCAAGTTGCTGAACTTCGGTAACATGATCAAAAGAGACAAAATTCTCAGTAATCTACTCTGTGCTGACACTTAAGTGGCGCAATTGCTTGAACCAAGTCATAAACTTTTTGATGATGGCTGGGACATTCATGGTAAAGTATTTCCAATACAGCTGCCCATAGAGGTTGTGGAGTCTCCTCCTCTGGAGATATTCAAAACTCTCCTGGACGCATTCCT